AAATGTATTAAAATGATGAAAAATGAAATGAGAATAATATAAGAATAAATTCTATTTAATATAATTTCATTAATATTGTAATAAATCATGACAGATGTACCATCTATTTAATTTAAACATGATAATTTTGTTTAATTGAAATAAGTAATTTCATAAGAAGATTATAATAAAACAGAATAAACAGAATAAACAAATAAAAAGATAAAAGTGACATTAAGAAATAAAAAGAAATGATAAATAACAAATGAATGAATATAAATAAATGAATAGAATGAAAATGAATAGATGATAGAAAGAATGAAATAAGAGAATAAATTAAAAAGAAAAATAAGAACTTAATAATAAATATGAGATGTAATAAAATAAAAAGAAAAACTTAAAAATCAACAACAATGGGAATAACACAATCAACACTAAATAACAAATCAAATGACAAAACAAAAGAAATTATTAACCAAATAGAAGAATGGACAGAAAAAAGAATATCTAATATACTATTTGATTCAGATATTGATAATTGGAAAGTTAATACATCAGTATTTGGAGAAAGAATAATGAACAAAGAACATATAATAATTATTATTGAAGATTCAAGAGGAAATAAATTTGGAGGATATGTTAATTGTAAAATTGATAAAGTTGATAGTTGGATAAATGATTCAAACTCATTTTTATTTTCATTAGAATCAAATGGAAGAATGGAAGGAATGAAGAAATTTGATATTAAAGAATCAGAATATGCATTTAAATTATATAACCAATCAGATGATTGTTTGTTTTTATTTGGACTTGGTGATTTTGATGTTTATAAAGAAAATAATAAAACAAAATCATATTGTTATCAGCATTCATTTTCATATGAAGGAATATCAAATGCACTTTGTGGAAAAGAATATCGTTTCACAACATATAGAATCACAGTCATTCAAATGAAATGATTCAATCTTGATTAATTGAAAATGAAATAAAAAAGAATAAAAACAAAACAATGAAGAATATGAATATTTTGTTCATCTACCAATGAATGAAATGGTGAATTAAAAATTGACATAATTCAATGTTGATTTATTTTATTTCATTTGAAATTTTCACACCCCAATGAGGGTGTTTTTAATAAATAAGAAATGAAAATAAAATAAAATGAATAAACAATTTATTTGTATTATTTCATTGAATTAATTCATTATGAATCAAATGAATAAGGTAATAGAAATAATAATAAGAAACA